TTTACCTCTTTATTTTGCTTCCCAACGGTTAGAAACTGTGTATCCAGTGAAGAAATTTTATCTTTTAAGGGGTGGGATGGAACTGTGAAGACATTTTGGAGAATTATTGTCGCTCGTACTTTACGACTTTGCTTTATACAACCAAAAGTCTTGTTTACCCATAAAGTTATTGTCGTCTTTTGATGCTCCTCTTATTTTTCAGGAGCAAAATGTCTTTTCACAGAATAGTAAAGTTTCCACTGACTGCAAGCATCTTCCATCTGAATTTCAAAGTACAAAATCGAAAGAAAATCTCTATTTCAATGCTGCAGAGTTTACTTTCTTTTTCAGTTGCGTGGTTTGCTGATGTTCCATAGTTAGCCGGAGGCAAAGGATTTTTTTTTTTTTAATTTCTTTTTACTTAATTGACCTGTAATTTGCTTGTATTTGAGTGCTTCAAAGATCATGGGAAAACGAACTGCACGCAACATCAAGCAAATGTTCAAAAAAACAAAATAGCGCTATGTTAAGACAAACGTTATCTCCTTGCATGTAAACACAAGACTAACTTTAGTAATTGTTATTTTTTATTATGTTTTTGATACTTATGATTTACATGCAACTGACATGCAGTCACCTGAGTCAATATGTATGGACTTCAAGCCTCAATTCCACTTGAACCAGTTTAGACGTAGTAGTTCTAAAAAAAACTATACAATAAAAATGTCGAGATTTCAGTTGAAGATATGCGCAAGTTTGCAGTTTCGTTGGAGTCAGCCAGCACCGGTCTATTCATAGACAAGTTTTGGCTTTCTTCTTTGTCGTAATCTACGTAAATTTTTCGTAAATCAAAACAAGTGAGAGGAAGTTGGCACTTGAAGATCTTTGCGTGTGTGTCTGCATTCTGCCTGTGTTCGTATCGTTGCACGAAACTCATTATGCATCCGCCCACAGATCTTTATGTCGCTGGCTCAGTAATCTTGTTCTAAATTAAATCTGAAGTCATCATCGATGAGTGAATATTGAAGTTTTCGGGTCTATTTGTTTAAAAATATGTCCAATAAAGGCCAAAGCTTTGTTGATTCATGTCAAATATAAACTGCATGTTAACGTATTAGCTTTTAATTTAAAAGTCAGTTTTCTGTTAACGAGAATATATGTGCATTGGACCATCACGCGTAAGTCTTGGTCAGTACCGGCAAAACGGCCCTATTTAATCTAAATTCATAGATAAAAACATCAATTACTGAAACAAGAATCAATCCATCGAGGTGTGAAAAGATTGGGCCAAAAAGCGAAAATTTACCCCGCGAGTAAAGCAATATTTATTCATACATTCATTTTTTCCCGAAGCAAACTTTCGCTTCACTTGCCTCATTTCCGCTCTTCGGTAAAACTTGCGTCACGATCCACATTAGCGCGCTTGGCATAAAACTAAAACAATTTTCATGTTGAATAAGTATGCAAATTTCACCTTTTTAATTATTTAATAGAGTAGTCGAGTGCTAGTAGTGTCGTTGACCACAATTTGACTGAGCTGGCGACTCACGACATTTACTTTTTCTTTTATGAACAACACCGTACAGATTTTTTCTTCTGCACATAAAACGACCTGAAAGTCGAAAAAAAAAATGATCAAGGGAACATATATGGCGTTAAAGTACGCCAACGACTTCCGAATTTTTTTGAAATTATTTCACAGTGACTAATTTGGAAAAAATTTGAAAACAAATGAAATTTCGACAGCGTTCAGTGCGCATTGGAACACTCGATTTGAACGCTTTCGCAGCGGGAAATATTGTACTCTGACTTGATTTCGAGAAGTTAACTTGTAAACGGTATAAATATATGATTTATTCATCATTGACAAAGATAAATGGCACACTACATGAGGACTAAAAAAAAAATACTACAACGAACACGAAATCTTGTTTACGATTTTCAAAGAGACTTCCTTCTTGGGCTGTTTCTGACGTTGTATGTGCAAATGTCAAACTCTTGGCTATTTTGAGGACTGAAAGTCTTCGAGGTTTTTCTTCCTGTGAAAGGAATTTTAACCTGGGTTATAACTGCGGGTTCTTTATTTCGAGGTATCGGTGTCTTCGGGAGGTTTTTCCCTACAACGATCGCAATATTGAGAACCATTTCTTGAGCTGGGTGATAATCGTTCACCAGATTTAAAAGCTGTTTTTGATGTTTTGAATAAACTCCGGCTTCTTTAAGTTCTTGTGCCGACGAAAAAGTTGGCGAGTTTCGAGGATTACGAAAATAATCAACGCCAGTTTTCACGAAGAGTTCCGCAGCTTTCGGTGAGAGAAAAACAAGCATGACAGCTCCTCGTCCTTTAGTAATGAATCCATCTCGTGCAATTTCAGTCAAATGATAAAGCAACTCACGGTTTTCGTTACTCATGTTTATTATCGACTTCATGTGACTATCGACTTGTCCGTAGTGACACACGACGCGATGTTCGCTCCAATGTGTCTTTCGACATTCCATGCAGCAATAGTGTGTGAAACATGATGGACAAGACTTAAAATCCAACGCGACGATTCCCAGCAGTTCCTCTTGTTTTTGGCACGACGGATTTTCGCAAGTAAAAATTTTTCTTTCCATCAAGCGAGGGGGCTTCGGTGGCAATCCCCGTGGAGGTTTTTGTGGTGGTGTTTTAGCATGACTCCTTCGAGGAAAAGTTGTAGCTTTTGTTGGAGACGGCAGCATTTGAGCTTTCTGATTATCGTTCACATCCAGCGAAAGTGCGCTCACATTTGGGGCGAAATCGTCTTGAAAATTGCAGTCTGTTCGCGAATAATCTGGCGGTTGATAGTTTCCGTTCATTGCATTGTAGATTTCTGTCTTTTTTCCTTTTTTCTGTTTGATTTTAGATGGTGAGACAGGCACCATGTCTCCGTACTGGGGCGAGCGACGGCGGTTCGTTCGGCACCCGCCCTTCCCGATGCACACATACATCATTTGCGCGAGAGTAGGGAAAGAATTGAATTTTGTTTTCTCCACAGACGTTTGACCAACTGTGTCACTTTCGAGACTAAACATCACTGCTGAATATATTGGTCTTTGTGAAGCAGCTGTTTGAGAACAATGCAATTCAGCCAACCATTGGCCGGATTAACAGCTTTGTGTATTTAACCAATCACAGATCGCGTCCACGAGCTTTGGCGCCACATCCCTTGTCAAAGATCAAAATAGGTACACAATGCCCTTATTAACCCATAGAGAGAACCATCCATCGATTACTAAGTACATCGCCGTCCTGTTATTCTTATTGACTTCAAATAATGGTTGTTGCAAGAAATCTTTTCCTTCTTGTTATTCCCTTTGTGATCTCCCACTGACATAAATGGACTTTTTATTTGATTTGTGAAACGAAGCTTAAACGGTCTCTAAATTCTCCTCGGACAAACAAATTCAAACTAAGCCTTGACGTTTAAATCAGTTTGTTTTTGGTCACGGCTTTAGAAAAAATAGCATTTTTTGTACGTATGTTCTGCATCTTTGTCCATGACATCTGCAGTATTTTGGAGGCAATGTACTTTTCTTCTTTATCCGATACTTTTCAGTAAAGCATCATCCCTGACTAATCGTTGAACAAACTAGAACACCACTTCTGTCACGTCTCTGACATCAATTTATGATAATTTCACATAAGGCTGGATTAAGGTCTTTCATAAATTCCAGACTAGCCCGTTTAGAACTATTTTTGCAAACCTAATTAAAATGCCCATAGCCGGAGTATTAGAAAAGGTATGTAAATAACGTAACAAACTTTTTGGGGTTATCTATTTACTCCTAATTGCCGTTCGTCAACGGGAGAAGATCACGAGACCTAAAAAAATTAAAACTTAAGCTTTAATTAATCGGCAAAACATGAAAATAAACAAATGACAAGAGCTAGACATAACTTTAACGAATGAGAGAACCGTTGGAGTTTCGCTGATTCCAATCAAGCTATCCGCGGCATTCCTTTGACGAAACAGAGAGACGGTTCTCGACGGTTTTTCTCTTGTATGAAAATTACCGACGCCCAATATCAGCCAATCAGTATATTAGAAGTGTTTTAAGAAACTTGAACTCTTAGTGTTTATAATGAGTTATACGTCAGGGATATCCCTTTTAATGTCGTGTGTACCTATGAGCCGTCGGGCGTCATAATATCGTACATTAATTGCGTACTTTGTGGAGCGTGTAAACATATATTCCGGCTTTCCATTCTATTCCGATGTCATTAGGTTCCACGGGTTATCTACCAAAGGTAACAGTAATCTTTAGGACTTATGTTAATGTAATTCTACTTGTGCATTAACTGACTTAAATTAACTCGCATTTTAGATTTAACGCATAGATAGCTTTCCTTCCCCCTTCCTATGCGTAATTTAGCCAAGTGCTCCATAAAATTACTATACATCTTCAACTGAATGATTTAAGAGTTTTGGAAAAATTGATAGTCCAATTTTCAAGCTGTATATGCATTTTATGGTCTTGGAGCTTAGATAATCTTCACGGTCTTCGCCCACTGACAATTTTCTACCGATAAAGCCGGATTAGAATTTTTCCACTTATCACCTCATTGCCCCCAGGTTACCGCCATGAAGTTACTTTTACATCCGTCGATGCCCGAATTCTGAAAAAAAATTAATTTTAAATTTTAATTTTTCTTTAAAGAGAAAAATACTTATGATGACTAGCTTCCAGAAATCGATGAACAGGAACAACGTAAACTGAAACAGTTTTTCTTTTTTAAGGCGCTACCCATATGAGTAAAAAATTATCCTCTTATTTTGGCTAACCCACTCTTGCTTTTGAAAATTGCGAATTGTCATATTTTATACCCTTCCGCTTTCATAAGAAACCGAATCAAAACCGAAATAAAGCCGAACACCGAACCCGTACCGACCCAGTTTCCGTACTTTATCAGTGAAGATCAAATGGGAAGTTCTCATAATAAAACCACTGTACTCAATATCGCAGGCGTTTCGTTGCTAATCACCTCTGGCATCCTACCCGAGTAACCTATAAACATTGAAATTCATGCTGCGGAAAATTCTTTCTTCTCCAAGGCAACCTAGAGAAACCTTTCTCTAATTTAGCCCTAATGATGCTTTAGTGGAATCTCTTAACCTGCGAGGAAGTAAAAAATCATGCAGCACAAGTCCTAAGGATCAGCAAATTCCAAACATGATGTATCCAAGGATCAACGATTTATAATTATTCTCCCTCGCTGTGCATGTCTCTTTGAAATGGGTTATAATTCCTTCATTAGCGCTGTGGTGATCGCAAGGATTTTCAATGCTATACTTCCAGCATATGCAAGTTTGAGTGAGTAAAAGTTTACAACTCAGATTTACGTTATGATAGTTTTAATGATTATTGCGATGAAGAAGTCAGTGATACTTGAGATTGTTTATGACTTGTTTCGTCATATATTCCGTTTTCGACCGTCGCATAGTTTAATGTCTTGATATCAAGGGAGATTATATGAGTTTCGCTTACTTCATATACATTTGAGGAAAAAAAAGTTTTTTTTTTTTTTTGTATCACAAAGTTCACAAAACTGAGTTTATTTACCAAACTTCACTACGAGTTTTCTCTAGAAGTGGTACTATTGATTACAGTGAGTTGTGTATTTTGAAATTAAGTCCTCAGCAAATGTCCCTGAGAGATCAATATCTTTGATTAGAAAAGCTGTTTCTGACTGTGGTATTTTCAACAAAGTATACTGGGACACTTCCCTAGTGACGGTTGCAATATTGTTGGGGAGAAGGAAAGTAGACATTTTCTCCGAAAGAAATAATAAATTTAAAACATTATTTACATTCTCTCTCCAAAAAGTAGGGTTTTGTAAAACTACCCCTGACCAGGGTAACAGAAAATTGTACCTTCCTTAGCGGTTGGATCTGAAAATGCTATGGAAACAAACTTAATGGTCAAATGACAATTTATTCAACTTTCACATGTTGATCTAAGTTGATCTTTTAAATGAGAAGCACTCTCACCTTCTTGTTATTATCTTACTGAATTGCACAAGGGATAGATACAAAAAGTAGAAACAAACTGTTATGGTGGAGAAAGTGATGCTGTCAATGACTTCTCAGATCTCTCTGTTGTTGTATGTTGATAATTAGTGGGGAAAAATGAATCAATGATTTCCCTATATGGTGAAAGGAGAGAGTCCTATTGATGATGATAATATTTGAGGCATATTGATTACAGCAGCTTAAAAAATATATATATACATACACACACACACACACACACACACATATATATATATATATATATATATATATATCTTGTTAAACATTTTGGTTTGTAGTATTGCTTAGTATTTTTATGAGTTGTGCCATATTTGACAAGCCCGTATGCTGTCAAAATACAAAAAACAAGTGAAAATACTAAGCAATACTACCCACCCAAACAGCTAATAAGTTATTTATTATCCAACTTCTATTTTTCTGGAAAGTGTTCCTAATCATTTCTCAGTTTAAGTGTATATTTAAGTGTGACTTAAGCAGCCAACCTGATAGACAGGTTCTTTTACAGTACAAACTAACCAACTGCACAATATTACATGATATTTGTATTCTATTCATGCATTACTTGCACTCTACTTTGTGCAGTTGGATAATAAATACTGGAAAAGTATATAGCTGATCTGAAGTGTGATTTTCTAGTGATTTCAAAAGACAATTGTTGAATGTATGACCAGGAATGTTTATGAACAACACCAAAAAGAGAGTGCTTTATGATTACAATTTCTATGATTCCAAGAATTCCATTTGTACTGTACTCTCTCACCATTGGTCACCAGAGCTAAGTTGCTCAGCACAGTCACGAAGAATTCAAATTTATTTCCCATGGCAGTAAACATTTGACAGGGTGAACCAAAACATTCTTAGGATTGTGCAGAACAAGCATAATTTATCTTGGACAAGTAAATCTTCGACATGAGTTATCCATGGGACAAGTACATGTATATTATTTTCTGATAATCTGCATAGTGATGTTCATTTAAATGAAAACATCGCAAAACTCACATGTAGTTGCTGTTTAATAATTGTTCTATATTTTAGATATGGTGCAAACAAAACTTGATACACATTGCTAAGCTCTGTTGTTTACTGAGGAGCACATTTTTATGATTACTTTTGGAAGGATAATCAAGTTGGAAGTTTTTCTTTTTATCTGAATGTTTATTGTTGGTCTACAATTAACCTAGAGTTATTATGAATTTAATGCATTTTGAAAAACATTTTGATCTATTAAAGAGAGAGGGGTGCTTATGCTGATAACATAATCCTTAAGGAAGAAGCACTAAAATCCTTTTTTTTTTTTCAGTTTTCACAATAGAGCCATCAGACCATGTTGTAGCTGTAGGACAGCCCCTTCTCCTCAACTGCCAGGCCAAATACAGTAGATCTGGAAATGTAGTGATATCTTGGAAAAATAATAACCAATGGCTGTTGGATCCCAAGAATGCACCCTGGACCCAGTTAGCAAATCAGTCTTTGTACTATAGCAGCTTTCCTGCTAATAGTACTGGCACTTTTGTCTGTGGAGCTTCAGTTCAAGGCACATCCATAGTCACTTACAGTAGAAAAGCAACTGTTCAAGCAGCATGTATGTATTTAATTTGTTGTGTGAAGAATTTTCTTTTCCTTATCTCCTTCTCTTTTTGTTTTTCCATGTCATTTATTAACGGTAACAGTACTTAATTACAGCTTCATGTGTGTTAATATGACTTTTCAATTTACAGACATCAAACCACAGTACCTCACAAATCCACATAATCTAACAAAAAGATTGGGAGAGGATGCAACATTTGACTGTGTTATTGCAGAAAGTCTACCCTATTCAACCATTCACTGGCAGAAAGATGGAAAGGCCTTTACTGGTGGTGAAGTAACAGGTCCATTTCAAATTCCTAGCACAAAGGCCACATCATTAGCCCTGTCAGTGAGGAATGTAACATTCTCAAGTGCAGGATGGTATGGTTGTGTGGCTGTAAATCCTTTGTTACCCAGTCTGCCACAGTACAGCAAGAAGGCTTATTTAACTGTACTTCGTAAGTACATTTATTTTTGGTGGTGGATGAATACTTAAAGGCAGGATTTTCAAGTTTGACGTGGATGAATTTACATTTAGCTATAGTAGACAGTGTTGGTTGTCAGGCTTTATGGTCAATCTTATAGATCTTTTTCTCAGCTACAGCTTGAGTTGATGGCTTTGAATTGACATCATTTTAGTACAAGTACAGCTGTTTGTTGTTTTGCTGTCAAATAGAGGTTAAATTCTCTAATTTAATCATTAAGGCATGTGAACTTATCTTAGAATTAATATTCCAATCTTGTGCAGCAATTGAGCTTCAAGACATGTGTAATAGACAGGCTAAAGGAAGAGACAGGACTAATATCTATTTGATACATGTAATTTTGAGCTTCACAAGTTAGAACAGAACCCTTCAGGAAACTGGTGAAGTTTTGTGCTTTTGTCTCTTATGCAGCCTCATACACACACACATCACAAATTATTACCTTTTTGTTTTAATATGAAATTATGCCTTAATTAAACACATTGGTGTGCATTCAACACAGTGACTTGGTGATTTTAACCGACCCAGTGTGCACAGAATTACTGTCAGTGGCTAAGGTTTGATGAAAATGCATTATTTAAATATTATTTTGTGTTACTGTTAAACCAGTCTGTGTTTGGCTTTTTGCAGCTGCTCAAGACAAGCCTCACTTTGGTATTCGTCCAACAAATATGATTGTACCTGAGCACCTTCCATCCATTCTTCAGTGTCAAATTCTTGGTGTTCCCCCACCTGTGATATCATGGACAATGAATGGTCAGCCTGTGAACAATGTGTCTGACCGGTACATGCTTGGTAATGGCTCACTTTACTTTGCTCCTCCAGTGAAAAACTCTTATGCTGGGCAGTATGTGTGTAATGGGACAAATACAGCTGGATCAGTCTCAAATTTTCCTGTGTTTTTCAGAGTGGCATGTAAGTTGACTGAATACTAACCATATCTATTTAAGGTTTTATCAGTTTGTTAATGGTTAATAAAACTTTTAAACACAAATGAGTAAACCAGAGAATGAAACTGGCAATTAAATCATCACCTTGTGCTTACTTAAGTACAAAAATGATATATGGTAGTGTTCTTAGAATTAACCTCTAAATCTTAAGCATTTAAGTATTGCAAAAGAAAAGACAATGAATATTTATTTTCTTCATTTTCAGACTTTGAATTCAATTTTCGTGAGAATCCAACCAATCAGACAGCTGTTGTTGGTGATGCAGTCAGCATGTCCTGTGTTCCTCCTTTCAGTTTTCCTGTTCAGGTCACAATTAATTGGTTTCACAACTATCAGCTGATTACACCTGGCGGCAGAATTACTATTGACAATTCAGGCACAATAACTTTTACTTCCATAGCAAAGTCTGATGAAGGGAGTTATTTCTGTGATGCAACAAATTCTGTCCTTCATGCCACAAGAACATCCTCTGTGGCCTTTGTTGCTGTGTATGGTGAGTAACTTAAGAAATGTGTTAAAAGGGTCAGTCTTGCTTTCTTTATGCAATGATTGACATCAATGGCAGGTATGATCATTATCCTTTTAGTGAACAATTGCCAATAAACATTCTTTACTTAGCATGCAGAACAGGTGAAATTCTTTTTGGTACTTTTCAGGCAAATGGAGGCAAGTGTGAGTCTCACGCTGTGGGAGAAGCACCAAAAAAAACTCTTGCATGTGACTTGCATTTGCTTAACACTTATCTTTGTTCACTTGAAAAACAGAAAGAATTATGCCTGTCCTGCTGCCTATTTTTGCTTTGCTTTTGAATGAAAGTTGTGCTGTGTTTGGACATTTGGAGGGCTAATTTGCATTCATAGATTGTGAAATGAAAATTTGGGGCCACCATTTATAAAAGAGGTCTATATGAAGTGGCAAGATGGGGCTGTCTTAAAATTTCCACATAGGATTGCCACCTGTGCTTGTTGGTTGTAGTCAGGCTACATACCACAGTACCTCTGGGCAACTTGTCTTTAGCACAAAAACATTTTATGTCTTTCTTCTACTAAAATAGGACTCGTGACTTTTAAACTTACCCAGATCTATCTCAATTTATTTCAGTACCACCATCTTTTCAAGTTCGGCCCAGTAATACCAACGTCACACAAGGTTCTCCACTTATGTTACACTGCCAGGCCAAAGGCGATCCTATGCCAAGTTTAACCTGGCAGAAAGATGGTCAGGCTGTGCAGAATAATCATGTGACGCTTCTGTCCAATGGCAGCTTGTTCATTTCTAGTGCTGTTAAGCAGGACGCTGGGACATTTAGATGTATTGCAAACAATGTCGCAGGTTCTGTCAGTGTGACTGCTGTTGTCGCCATTTATGGTGAGAAAATTATATTATTTTAATTAGGCAAAGCTAAGACAGTCTGAGTCACATTTAAAATGAGAAACAAAGTTAAAGGTTAAGGATAGAATTAATTGCTTCTGGTTTTGAAAAGACAATGGATACAGAAGCATTTCCTCCCCCCTTAAATTTGAGCCAGGGGACAATTTATCTCCAAGGTCTTACTTACTGGTCCAGTTGAGAGGCAGAGAGAAAGCCTCTCTCTCAACTAAAACACATGCATGTACTCGTACTTGTCTGATGAGTGGGTCAAGCTTTTTGAATGCTTCAGCATTACATGACAGTATTAAGTTACCATGTCAGATAATGCTAAAGAAACAAAACCACAAAATACTTTCAACTGGTAACTCAAGACGCAATCCGTGCAATAATTTCATGTACACTTTTTAACAGGAGATGTTAAAATTACCCACTTGGTACAGTATATTTCTACTTCTAAGATGAAGAAGGTTCAAACGAATTGGTAGTAACCACAATTATTTTTGGCAAGTGGACAAGCCTTTATTTAGTTTTAATCTCTTTTCTCTTAGTTCCGCCTTCACTGGTCTCGCCGCCAGAAAACGCTACAAAGACAGTAGGAGATATCGTGAAGTTTACGTGCACGTTCAGTGGAATTCCAAACCCGAGCATTCAGTGGTTCTACAAATCTGAAGGGTCTATGGTTCAAATCAATCAAACAAATCATTACGATATTTTAACCCGATCCCTTGAAATCAAGCAGATAACGAAGAAAGACGAAGGAAGATACATTTGTCGAGCTGAAAACGTTGCTGGAAGTTTGGAAGCATCGGCCTATTTAACAGTGAGAGGTACCTAGCGTGTTAACCTCGAAAATATTAAGAAATCACAGCACTCTTCAATATGATGGTGTTAAAGCTGACGTTTCGAGCGTTGGCCCTTCGTCAGAGCTCTAACGAAGTACTCTTGGAGACCAATTTATATTATCGCTTGAGTTATTTAAACCAAATTTTCTAGTAACAGCCACCGGCACAGCACCACAGTTTTGTATAATAACTTGCCCTCTTTAGGACCCATTTAGCTTTGGTCTATGCCGTTCTTTGATTGGTCCACAAAACTTCAGCCACCCTCTCAACCAATCATTTGCAATTCTACAAGTGAACCGCGGCTTGCTCTCTACAAGACATGTTTTCCCGCGCTTTAGCCAATTTTGAAGACATTTCTTTTGTTTTCATTCAGTTCCCGCTAGACTCGATATGAACCCAATGAATATAACCGTGAATGAGTCCTCTCCAGCCTCATTCCGGTGTAATGCATCTGGTGATCCCAAACCAGTAGTTACGTGGTTTAAAGGTGGAACCCAGTTGACCCCAGGAGCAAGGATTGCGATTGGTGAAGACAGTTTAACGATTGTGAGTACGGTCGCCAGTGATTCTGGGCAGTACAGCTGTAATGTTAGCAATGGATTGAATTCACATGTGGGAACTACCCATTTGCTCGTTCAAGGTGGGTTGGTATCGATTTAAATTAGTTTATTGAGTACTTAATATAATTTTTTCCGTGTTCATCAACAGGCAATTGAAGAAGCTGAGCCTTAGTGAAAAGATCGTTACTTATAAATATCGTGTTCTTGCGTAAAAACGTTAACACTTTCACTCCTAAGATCTAGACCAAATTCTCTACACTGTCTAGCTAACACATCTTGTTAATTAAGTTCAAAGACTTTGCCGTTAAATCGAACAATATTATAGGTGGATATTTCCTTTTTTCTCATCACCTCTCTCCGTGAAATTGTATTAATGTTGTAAGAACAAATTCCTCTTTGGGAGTGAAAGACATAAAAGCACCTATTTCGAAAATCTGTTGATTTGATGAGAAGCCGAAAGTCTTACAAGACGATTTTTATTTTAAATCTTTGTCTCCGTGGACCAATGAATTTGTAACACTATTTTTCCTTGTAATGGATGATGCACACAATCCATAAAAACCAAAATTTTCTCACTCATATACAAGTTTCTTTGCCTGCGGCTGCGCTGCCTCTCAGACGCGGCAGTTTTCCTACTTTCATATCTCGCCGGGTAATTTCTGCTTGAGAGACTGACTAGTGTGGCGGCCAGAGCTAACCCCAGTGTGTGTGGTATGAAGCGACAGAGGTATTGTTACTCTTCCAGGAAATAGCGATAAAATACTACTTAGGTTTAGGTCAGGTTTCTCAGACATTTTACAGGTACTCGTTTAGATTTGGTGGGGAGCTGTCCACAATGACTGCCGTCGTGACTCGATGCAGGACCAGCTCAGCCAATTAAGTCTCTGATGTAAAGCATCTGTTTTTTCTTTACAGTCCCACCAAATATAACATTATTTTACGTACCTCGACTGGTAAAACTCGGTGCGAGCGCTGTACTAAACTGTTCTGTGAGAGGTACGCCTAAACCAAGTATCACGTGGTACAAGAACGGCGAGTTATTGTCCTCGTCTAGCAGCTTGTTTGTGATTGGAAGCATTCGTGAAGCTGACATTGGAGTATATACTTGCACCGCATCTAACGCAGCGGGAAGGGTATCAAAGCATGGAAATCTAACTGTGCAAGGTTAGTTGACGGTTATGGCTCAGAGCAAAGATCATTTCAAGATATTTAAGTTCTGTGTGATATTCAGATTGCTCCGAGTTGGTGCTCTCTGAACATATTCAAACAGATGTGAACAACCACTGCTCGGTACCTACTACATTTTTTACTTTATGTATTAATACTTTAATCCCTAAGAGTGACTAGTATCTAATTCCTCTTTAGGAGGAATTAGGAAGGAAATGATCACCAATGCAAGAAACTCTTTATTATTAAAAAAAGTATCCTTTTCAGCACCTTATCAAATGCACGGAGAACAGTATGGAGAATACGCAAACTGATGCCAGGGTTCAAAAGGTTAAAAGAACAATAGTATCGTTCAAAATGACGTTCACTTCACTGGCCGATTGAAACTTTCACGAACCATATTCCCCTTGCTCTTGTGCCTGATAATATCCTCTGCTCAGGTTATGGAACAGACACCCACAAGAACAGTTATATATACTGTAAATAATGAAATAACATTCATCCTTGGTCATTTTAAAAAAAATTTTTGGAGTTCTCTCTCTTTTACGTTGCACACCATCTTCAAATTACCTAAGACTCTATCCTTCAGTAACCTTTTAAGGTCAATTCTTCTTCTAAGACAGTTTTCGTACTGTACAAATGTTTATTGTCAACTTTTTTTCTATAAATAGTGGCTCCCAGTCCTCCATTTCCAATCTCTGCCATCCCGGTATCCTCCTCTGCCATTCAGTTGTCATGGCAACCCGTTTTTGATGGGCACAGTCCAATTACCAGTTATAAGCTGGAAATGAGGAGAGAGTCTGAAAGCTACGTCGTCATACAAGAGGTCATCTCTGCCATGTCATATACTGTGAGGAATCTTCGTCCATTCACCTTGTACACCTTCAGGATTTCTGCTCGTAATGCCGCTGGTTTGGGTAACGGGGCCAATATTACGAACAAAACCTTACAAGATGGTAAGTTGGAAAGTTAACCGCTTTATTTGCGCCTGCCTTCAGGAGCGAAGCGTTTGTGGATAGCTCGGCGTGTTGCAGAACTCTGCTTGACAATAATTATGCCATATGCAAAAAAAGACTTGATATTTTCTATGCTTCACTGCCTCTCAGTTCATATGGGCCTTGGCCAGTTGTACTAAGCTAGCAAGTTCTAGGTCATAGTCGAGATCTTGTCTTTATAAAGCAACAGAATCTCATGCAGAAATAACGTTTCAGGCTTCTTTACCCCAATTGTAAGAGTACTTTCTATTCTTTTTTTTTTTTTTTTTTTTTTTTTGAGAGAATTAAACAACAGAGTAATTACTTTTGACATTTCAGCTCCTTCGCCACCTACCAACGTTTCTGCGGTAGCCTTAAATGCGACAACTATGACCATCACCTGGGACCTACCAACCACACCTAACGGTCAGATCACACGCTATGAAATTCATTACAATGTTGTTGAAAAGAGTAACCTCACCAGCATAATGCTACTCGCCAATCAGCTGCCGGTGCTTCAGGCCATGATTGTCGGTTTGAAACCATTTACTCGTTACCAGTTTAAAGTTCGTGCCGCCACTGAGGAAAGGAATGTTATGTGGGGAAACTTTTCAGCGATTACTAAAGCGACTACGGATGAAGCAGGTTAGTTTATACTAACACTTGACCGCAAGTAGTTAGACGTTCTAGTCTTCTCGGATAACGACGATAAAACGTAGGCTCCGTCTCCTGCATCTTCTCTCCACTGACTAGCAGGGGACGTCTAAGAACCCACGTATTTCTCGCGAAGTTAAGGGAACCTAGCTCCCGGTGTTGTGGTGTGGCCTAATATTTGTTTAAAATGGCCTCCTTAAGCTGAACTGGGCCGGCCTGTCTAGGTGTCGCAAATAATGAATAAATATATCTATAAATAGATAGATTCTTCGCACCAAGATCTTAACATCATAACTGAGGGAGGAGTCTGTAGGTGCCAGTGACCAAAGGTAATAGGTTGCACATAGCTATGGGAACTTATCGGAGTGAATTTTTCAGTGTGGTGACTCTTATCGAAACCAGTCTTATTTGAAGTCTGTTGTAGTTACTTCGTTTTCCGACGAGTCTCCACATTGAAAAATGAGCTCGAATAAATTTTGGAATTTTTTTCCTTTAACTTTCAATTTCTGGTCGTTGCTGAGTTGAGTTTGGTACAGGCTAAAGTTTGGTTTATTTAACCCTTTTACTCTCATGAGTGACTAAGACAGAATTTCTCCTTACAATAGCAATACAACATCAACCAGATAAGTGATGAGAATGAAGAAAAATATCAATTTGGGGATAATTAGTTGATCCAATACTAAATTCTCTAAACCAACATTAGAAGAATTGTATAGTTGACAGTAAGGAGAATTACAAATTTGATCTTGGAGTTAAAGGGTTAAGCGTGCTATGAGTTCAACCAATCAACCCCTATCATTCATAGGGTTTCCATGATTCCGTGTTTCTTCAAAAGTCCGATCAAAGTCAAGAGAGTTTTTGGAAGGTGTTATTTTGATCAGGCTGAATTCTCTGTTTTTGTTTTAGCTCCAGCTGCATCTCCTCAAGACATTCAACTAACAGCTTTGTCTGCTGAGGCCATTCTCGTTACGTGGAAGGTGAATTGATTGGCTTATTGTTTTTTTTTTCTGTCATTTCTTTAAAGTTAATTATATTATCCAAGAACCCCAAGGCAACTGCAAATTCAAAACATTGGTTGGCCTTCTTGTTATTGAGTTGGGCTCTGGGTGAGGATCATTGTGCGTAGCATGAGCAGGGCGTTTTACTTCCTTATGGGGCCCCTATTCAGATGATTGTCTCAGCGATTAGAACGCCAATGGACCATGCCGTTGTAAACATCGTTCTGTTGTCTGTCAAGTAAGAGAAGCGTTTCGTTCTCTCAAATGAAACTCGCAGGAGGTTTACTCTTGTATGGAGCGCTCAAAGAATTGTTAAAAGGATGAGATTTGGTAGCAAGATGAAGACGTGCGGGGGAAAATATCATACACGTTAAGGTCTAACAAGATATACATCTTTTCACCCTTTTCTTCATTGCAGAGTATTCCTTCCGAACTATCCAACGGCATCATCAGAGAATACATCGTGATTGCAAAGGCAGCGGGTCCTTACAATTTTCATAATGATGGATTGAAATACTCCACAAATTCATCACTGAATTTTACAATTCAAGGACTTCACCCATGGACATTTTATAACGTCACTGTCCAGGCCTACACGGTTGACTCCGGACCAAAGAGCCCTGTTAAACAAGTTCGGACTTTAGAAGCTGGTGAGTTTTATAGCTTTAAATGTGTGCGAGATTTAGTATCAATTTTTTTTAACGCGAGACATTTCAGAGGTGAGGTTCGTTTAGTTTTAAGGGAACTCTCGGCATTTAGAGGAAAATATGTGTTTCACCGAGACTTGACATTGGCTGTCGATCTCCCTCATTTTTCACTCTGCCCCCACTCTCCCGCTTTGTTTTACTCACTGAATACCTGGAATAGGCCATCAAGTTAAACATTGACAGATCTTAACGTTCTGAGTTAAAGGCCATTAGTCACAGGCCTAACGTTTTTGTGAAGTTGGCATGTCTGTTTGAAATCTGGAAACCCACATATAAATTCCTTTCTCACTCCCCCCCCCCCCCCCCCCCCTTTTTAACAACTGGAATTATTTCTCGGTAGTCCCAACGCGAAACTGGTCTTTCTACCATCGGTTGAGATCTTTATTAACTTACATGTACACTCTTTTGAATCGTAACTATGTTCTTAGCAGCGTGGAATACACGGTTATAATTAATTTGTTAATCTATTTTTTCGGGTAAGTTTATCTCGATGTATGCGAAGTTCGTTGATTTTCTAAAGTATTTGTTTAATTTTCCATAGATGACCAATTTATAATGTGTAAATTGATATTATATCGATTTGCTTCTTCGCTTGTTTGTTTGTTTTCAGCACCTGGTCCGCCATCGAATGTGACTTTGGATTCCGTCAGCCAGCACAGCATCATGGTGTACATAGCTCAGCCTCTTCCTCCAGCACGAAATGGCGTCATCCGTGGTTACACTGTGTTGTACAGGCTGGCCAGCCTAACGGAGGCTGATTATCTGTCTGTAAATACAACCTCATCCCCTGTAACATTGACCAACCTTTCAGTGTTTACAGAGTATTCTATTCAAGCAGCAGCTTTCACCAGCGCAGGACTGGGCACCACAAGCGAAGTGAAAACAGTAGTCACACAAGAAGGAGGTAAGACTCTTGACCAGTTTGTACTTCTTGACCTTTTTAACTTGTGACTTAACAATTTGAATGTTCTTCACCCTATTTTCTCTATCAAAATATGTATAAATGTTTTGCCAGTGTGTTGTATGCTACCTTTTTTATCGTTTTTGTTGTTTTTGGTTATCGGTTTGTAATATTATTTTATTGTAATATTGTTTTGCTTTTAAGTTCCAGGCGCAGTCGGTAACGTGACCGTGGTATCTGTGAGTCACAACACTATAACAATAACTTGGCATCCCCCTGTAAGGCCCAATGGCGAAATTATGGAGTACAGGATCACCTACAGATCTCTTGACAATAACGCGACACGCATCCTGACAACAGATGGAAGTTTGACTACAGCTGATATCAAGAACTTGTCAGCGAACACGACCTATTACATTTACGTAACGGCAAGAACGGGCCAAGGGGCTGGCGAACAAGGAATGATTTTTCATGTCACAACAGGTAACTCATGGAACCATAGGATTAAATAGGAATGACCTCTGTTCCTCAGCTGACGCAGTTTTACTGAAATCTTTCGACTGGCTCTCTTAGGAACTGGTGATAGCTCTTTAGAACTTTCTTTGGAAAACTGGTGCGCCTCCTAACAGACAGATACTAATTAGGACTAGACTCAGTTTTAAATCTCTCAAAACTTTATTTTGTTATCGATTCTCGCTCTGTTCTTCAGTATAGAGTTGGAAATTTGGCGCGAGACAAGACCCATCGATCTTTATTATTTCCTATGTTAAGTTTTGTTTAACACTGCTTACAGAATGAATGTTTTTGGCAGACGGAGATGGGTATCATTTACAATAATTGCTTGTCTTTTACCATCGAAACCAGTACAATAAATCCTGATGGATTGAACTTAATATTGCAGGTGTTCCTCCTCCAGTGACTCTCCTTCCCACAGAACCACAGGTTACTCCTACTAAGGAAACAGAGACAACGGTGGTGGCCCCTCCTGTGACAGAGAGGAGAACCAGCGAACTAAACCAGGAGCAGATGATCGTCATAATCGTTTGTGTGTCGCTAATAGTTGCATTTCTTATAATAGCAGCCGTTTACTTTCTGGTTTTCCGGCGATGGAGAGAAAACAGAGGTGAGGCGAGAAAATGAAGCTCTAAACTTAAAATTTCACCACGGTGGTCACATCGCCTTTGTTTAAGGTCGAAACATGCTCGGCGACAAGTTGCGGCAACAAGATACACGAGAAGATCTTAGCAGCCGCTCACTTCGCGTGAAATTGGTACTTTTTCCACGCCGTGAATTTGCAGAATCACCGAGTGCATGAAAGCAAAACCATTGTTATCCAGAATTATTTTTGATAGTCGGTGAAATGGATTCCCTTCCGGCACTTGGTGCTTGTTATTCTGCGTTAAGTTCTCATTTTATTTCTCGTGTAAGAGATACACTGTATATTTTGTGTCGTCCATACTTGACTGCGGACTGGTTAGACTGTATTATTAGACTGCATTGATTACACTTCGATTCTCTGCTCTTTCTCCAGATGGTGGTGGATACAAAAGATCAAGAAAATTACATGGTTTCAATGGTGATTACGAAATGAACAGGTGAGGATTTGTAATCTCACACATGACAGCTCATCTGGGCAAGTTCCTAAGAACTGAAATGAGATATGCAGTCAATCGCTTGCACTCTTTCAACAATACGCAAACTCTTCAATACATGTGATTCGAATCATTCATAACAATTGCTGTTGCAACGAAATTAAATCAAACGGACATCTAAACCCTTTTACTCGTAATCCTCCGCACTGTCTGCCATACAACTTTTTCAGATGTTAGTTTTGAGAATTTGGAATTAAAGCTACTAACACATCCCTATTTGATATTTTTCTCTATTCCAATCACTTTTCTCCTCGATTTTTGCTGATATTGTGAGGATAAATTCTGCTTTGGTCACTCATGGGAGTTTAAGGGTTAAGAAATAAAATCTAACAAACTGCAACGGTCGAAATCAACCAATCCAAGCGCCATCACGTGACCTGCCTATACAATCCTTTGAAGTGAGGTCATCTCTTTCATAACCTGTCACCTTACATGACTATACTCTCAGGAATGATCAATAGATATGATCTCCGCACATTTCAATACACCGCTACTCAGGAATGTAATGAGAGTACTGAAAAACAATAGTGCATTGCGGGATATGGTCATTATGGTCATTTCCCTCGAACCAGGCTAGCGCTTTCCTTTGCTCACCTGACGCTTGAAGCTGGAAGCTTGTTTTGAAGGATAAAAGAAAGTCGAATTTCATTTTGCCACAAGCTTGGGACAAAACATGGAAGGGGATTGGTTGACAGTCAAGCACTGTTTGTCCCCTGTTATGTTATAAACATGTGAGTTGTTCTGTTGTTGAAAGATGTAATGGGCTGCCTATCAGTAAAAAAAAGAACAACATACCCCGTTTACATCAAAATTTATAAAAACTCCAGTCTCCTTCCACAGTAACATGTTAAGTCTTAAAGAAAGATAAAACTTGAAAAACTCGGTATGCTTTTAATTTTTACCAATGTGATTGATTAGCGATTGATTCAGAGAAAAGTCTAAATTTTTATTTCATAAATCCTAAATAGTTATTCTCAGCATACTGCAGTTTCCCTATTTAAACCCTATTCATAACTTAACCTGAGCTGACAGTTTTTTCCGTTGATTGTGAAGTGCTTTAGATGGCACAGGTCACTACAGGATGGTGGGATCCTTTTGTGTTCCTCGATCAACGTAAACGGTAAATGTAACTTAATCGATAAACTAAGCCGATAGAAATGAAGAACAAGGCCCGATGAAGTTATTAATGATACAATATTTTAGTCCTCTGCATTGATAGAAAAACTGGAGGAGTCTAACATCATATGACAAACGATGTTTTTAGTTATTGAATAATCGATTGAGTTTTCTTTTTACACGTTAGTTGCAGTGCTATTAGTTTTGTTAATCCATTATCGTAAAATTAAATTAATCTTTATTGCATCGATGACTCATTCTGTGATCTACTGATGCTGCCAGTGGTATTTTAACGTACTAAAATTGATTAAATTACATATGAAATTCACTGATCTCTTCAAAAATAAATCTGTTACATCATAGTTGTTTTATAAACTCCTTGGGTTCAAGTTAAATTATCTGCTTTGGAATAACGGTCTTGAACATGTGTGATCTTATTTCCTCTCAAAAGCGATTAAGGAATTGTTGAAAGAAATGATCAAACAATCGAGACTTTCTTCTTAGTGATATCGTGTTGTAGTATTTCAAGGGGAGTAGCCAACGAAATAAAGCAATTAAAGAACTTTTAACAGTGGGCCTTGATAACAAGTGCCAAATAATACTTTATAGCTAAAATTGACTGTAAAATCTTATGAATAGGAAAAACAAAGTAAATGCAGCCTCAAACTAAGTGTGAATGTTGGGTTCAATTCAAATTTTTTCTATTCTGTTAGATATAACTTCGCTCTAACTTCGTTCACTTCATTTGGACTCAATGATGCTGAAGCTCTCAACTCAACTTAATTTGCCTTCATCCCTCATTAGGCATGGTTTCCACGGTAACGCCGTTCTTGATGTGACTGAAGAGCCGAGTGGAGCAGACGCCGATGGCTCAAGTGATTCCTTTGATTCCGATTGGGTTAGCAGCAGCATCGCGTTGCCTTCACCACCACCGAATCCGGACTACGCAGAACCAGATCTTTCCTCTCTGCAACGTTCCTCATCGCGTAAATCAGATCGCGCGCAGCTGGTAGGTGCACGACCACACGAGGACTCCATGATTAGCCAAGACGGTTATTCAACCGTTGAGGCTCTTGGAGGTGGAATTTCCAGCTTTGGCCCCCCTCCCCCACTACCTTTTCGCTCATCTTCATTTAACGAGCGAGGTTCTAACTCTCCTGGAAGTCGCAAGTCATTTACAAATAAGGGTTACAACCCAGCGTCTGAGCGAGAAGGATTGGATCTCGGAGAAGGAAGTCGAAACAGTTTCCCCAACAGGGATATTTCAGGGATGGAGGACAGGGGTTACGATTCAGACGAGGAGCTTGACAGGAGTCTTGCTTCCGCCAGCGGCGAGAAATCGACTTTGGACATAGCCCCTCTCAATCTTGACGAGTTGTACGCCAAACCTGACTTAACCAAAAAAAGAAATACCATTGCATTACAATCAGGCAGGCAGGACGATGAGCCAACTCATGATCCTGTGGTGGTGTACGATGAAAGAACTAATTTGTAAGTTGAAATAAGTTGAAATAAGTTGAAATAAGTGGTCATTTAGTTAAGATAGGAAAGGACGACGAACGCGGAAATGCGTGTTCGTACAGTTAATGTTCATTGTTGAGGCCAAGCTTCATATTCTATTTCCGTCCCGAGGGTATCTTTTGCCACTTAGATTCATCATGGAGATCCTTAGGTTACCTTTTTAAGGGTGGTGGAAAAGGTATCATTTGGGTTATCTCGCCATCCAAAGCGCAAAAATTTGCTTAAGAGTCCTTCAAATTCAAGGTCAACCGAAAACCATGTGTTTTTGGGCTTTCTCCCGGGACATCTTGTGAAATATTCAGTATGTGGTATCGCCTTTTTCCACAACTCGTCAGCCATGTCTTAGCTGGCAAAAAAGGCTAAATGAAGCGTAATTCACCGATACGAATTGTGTTGCGAACTACAGATTTAACGGAAACAACAAGTTTGTTCCAAACTTCCCTGACATTAGAGTTAAACAAGATTTTACTAAGAATAAGTACCTAAACAGACATGAAAAAAAAATTTATACTTAAATGTATGCATTTTGTGGTGCTGTCTCAATTGCAAAAGTTTATAGCTTTTCTAACAGTTGTTTAGTAAAACGACTTCCCCCCCCCCCCAAAAAAAAAAAAATAATAATAATGATAATAAATAAACTCATGGTTTTATGAATAAGTCATTTTTAGTAAGATATTCTTGGTACTTTTTCAAAGCGTGACATTATTGAGACTTAGCGCAATCCGGATGCCAGTTTTTGTTGACAAATTTTTGTCAAATTCTCCTTCTTAGTTTTTTTAGTAAAGCTAAACTTCATCAAAGATTGATTTTATTAATTGGATGAGCTAGAAATTGGATATTTTTTTAGTCCACTTTACTCACAGACTTTTTCGAGTGAAAGGCAGAACACCTCTGCCCAGTTAATGAAAAACAAATATAATTCTTAATATTGAATTTTTAAGCACAGATGTAAATAAATATGCTGAAATTCAGTTACTGTGCAAGACAGACGATTCTAAATTTATCTTATACAGAAGTATATTAATTTTGCAGGAACGAAACTTTAAAATGAATAAACGAGTGTGGCTGAAGGCTGGTGTTCTTTATTATCCACCTCGTGATTGTGTGTAGTTGTCATGTTTGGTTTTTTCGCCTTTGTACGCATTTTTTTGTGTTGTCATACTTTGTTTGTCAACATGTTTTCTTCCATGAAGTCAAAATTGATCTAGAACTGTGGAACTTGCCTGAAAATCCGTTGAAATGAAGAAAAGGAGAGAAAGAGATCTTGAGGAACAAGAAACAATTTGCATCATCAGAATTACTATTTGTACAAATTTAAGAGTATAGAAGGGCGAGGAGTCCTCCAAGAAACCACCAGGCTTGTTAGAGACACTACCTCGGTGATCAATATGTTTGTTATCAGTGTGGATGCGCGGCTCGGCCAATTCAGACACATTTTATTCAATCATCTTTTTTTGCTTTGTGTGATCATTTATTTTTAAAGTGCTGAATCCCTGAAAATGTGTGTTTACAATTAAAATGGACGTTCTCGCTGCTCACAGACTAGCGTGCATTTCACATTCCCACTCTCGTTCTCTTGTTGAAGAGTTCGTCACTTGGCCACAAATCGACACAGCCCACTTAAATTCACTCTCCACTCACGGTTTTTATTTTAGTTGTAATTTGCGCGTGCAGTGACGTTAATTGTTTGCGCTGACGAACAACAATGAGAGCTAACTAATAATCATTAAATGCCCACAAACAAAAATATAAACATAAAAGTGCTGAGTTGTAACCACCGCTAATGCCTAAACTAATTCATGTTGTCTTTGTGCTATCACAAAATATTCGGACGTGATACTTCGTTCACTAGATCTTAGTTAACTCATCTCAGTCTCCCAAGTTTTTGACCAGTGATTGGTCGGCCGACTCGCTGGAGTAGAGAATGGGACCTTGTCCCCTTACTATTGAATAACGAAGTTTCCTTATCCAGTAAACAAATTAAACTAGCTAATTTATCATTTCCAATGTCACATTTACAAGACAGCTGTAGGCCGTATCGCATGGTTACACACATCTGGTCACTAGAAATAAAACATTAAAACCTGTGGATGGGCCAAATAGCAGCTTTATTTGCCAAAGGTTGTGTAAATTCGATCCTTAGCTTAAGTTTAATTTACTTTTTCAAATCTGTGCAATTATCGAATAGTTCACGGAATGCTGTATCAGACTTCCGTTGCTAAGCGCTTCTAAGTTCATTAACCACTTTGTGTATTTTTCGTTTTGTAATTCTATTGTTTTGCATAGCTATTCTTAAGCTTAAAATAGAGACAATTTTCTCGAGAGCATTGGTCGGGTCAACTGTTTTATAAGCTTTATTTTAAATATATTATAAACGGATTACTATTTGCAGCTCTGATCAGCTACTCATGATGTTTCTATAGTTACACCTTCAAAACTCAGATTAGGGTCAAAGAAACCTGTAGTCAAGGCTTTTTTTCGTCGTAATTGTTTGATGGAAAGTTCATACCGATGTATGGGTGGCTTTGATGTCTTTTGACTGTGTTTTTTTTTTGTGTGTGTGTCTGAAAGCCATTCAGGACTTCCGCTTAATGACTTCAACATAACGGTGCTTATTAAACTAGAAAACTAGAATATTAACAATGAGATCATGCCTTGTTAAGAGATACATATTTCGAATGAGTACAGAACAAAGCCATTCTATGCTAGAATTTGTGGCCGCTCAAATTTGCCGAACATGCTCTAAAATGAGACCGTTGTTGTAAGCGGAAGTGTTCATCGAACGGAAACGACACTTGTAACTTTATTTGAGGTATCTCTCATATATAGCTTTCGAAGCTCTAGCAAGATATATTCGAAGCGCTGTTACAAATTAAGCAAGAATTTTCAGCTGTAAGCGAAATTTTTTATATAGTTTCCGAAGCCAAAAACTCCTTTCGAAGTTTCTCGTTTCTTTTCAACCTCGTCAATAGGATATGGTGTAATCAGGTAACTCTTCCAAACCATCTCGTACAACCGCCTTTTGAGTTAAAACGTTGATCTTCATCTTACAATGTCTCCAAACAATCACAGTAATCAAAATTTAAGATAAAATGTATTTTTACTCTGTTCCTTTTTTCGGAGGGGTGGGGTTGGGGGTTGGGCATGAGGTAGCTGTCGTATATCTTTTCTTGTATTTTTTGCCTCTTTCAGTTATGGCGATGATGCATCAAAGGAATCGAATCCTTCAGTGGACAGAAATGATGCAAAAAGTGTTGCTGAGAGTAATGTCTCGAGCGCAACAATTGTCTCCGACCTAAATAGTAGCGAAGTGGCCGAACCCGTTAAGAATGACGATCTGATCAACCTTAGTCTTGAACTTCCACCTCCGGCAAACGCTACTGAGGGGCTGTCCATCCAAGATTCAGGCTCTGCCCCTCCCTCTCCGTATACACTTCGCAGCAGAAAGATCTCGTTAGGTTCTCAGGACAGTTCCTACGACGAACCTTATAACAACTTGGAGGAGATCGACGCTGGCATTACACCACCGCCGGATTTTATCCCCGCTAAGCCCCCGTCGTTGGGATTTAATCCCGAAGAAGAATTGGGCGGTCTCGCCGCTGCTCCAACCATTTCCCGATCTTCTTATCCCAATGAACCTTATGGGGTCGAGGACAAATCCGAGGAAGAGGCCGTGGTTATGGAGGTGAAGGAGCTTAAAAATATGGAAGATGCTAGAGAAGCTGAGGATACAATCAACGATTTCGACGACATTCTAAATGGTCTTCTCGCGAACGAGCCAACAGACGAACCAGAAACAACTCAAGAAACTTTCACGAGATCCGACGGCTATGATTCGACTGTATTAATGTTTTAGATTTCCAAACCGTGTAAGCTGGAAAATTGTATGGAAAAGCTTACCAAAGGTATTTAAGAGTGAGGTTTTTCACCAGCCTTCTGACGAATGGGAGAGCTCTTGAGGAACTTTTGTGAGATCTGACGGCTAGGATTCGGCCGTGGTAATGTGTAAGCTTTAAGAGTGTTTAGGCTGGAGAATTTAAACAAATGGAAAATGATATTTGGGGACTTCGATTTAGGTGAAACTTTCTGAAGTAAGAGCTTATGGGTTTGTTTAGAAACTTGCTATCTGTTACGTTGCATTTTACTGCGAAATATGTTACTCAAAAAGTTTAGTGCATGGGAAAAGCCAGATTTCCAGGAGGTCTCTTGAATGCCCAATAGCTTAATGATAACAATTGTAGACTTTCTCTTCAAATGTTAGATGCAGTTTTAAGAATTGATCGATACATCAGTTTCACTCTAGAATTCGAAGCATGCAGAGCTTGTTAGATTCACAAATGTAGTCGAATGCTTTGCTTGCATTTTCAGGCAAGGCAAATCGGAGGTTTTTTAAAACGAAATTGGGTCTCAACTTCTTTGGAGAGGTCAGCTGTACTGAACCATCACTTAATTTCTTTTTAAATAGATCGTTCTTATATTCAACCCCTACTTTAATTCTTGAATTGTATCTATAGATTTCAAATATTTATTTTCAAAGTGCCCTTATCTGTTATTTCGTGCGAGATTTTCAAATAGTTTTTGTGACAATATAGCGATTATGAAAAATGGAATGGATCAGCGTGGGGCCGGTTTAAAAATGAAAGGCCCGCTAGGTAAAGCTAGCAGCAACGAAAAAAAAAAAGACGGAAAGAATAGCTCTTACTCACATTGCAGTATATTTTTGTTGTAGTTCTCTTGATCTCTAGCGATGGTCCAAATATAACATCTAGAGGACCGCTCTCTTCATACCGGTTGCTCTAGTGTGTCCCTCCGTCTATTCAAAACATTACTATCAAATGACTTGTCCTTAGAAAGTAAGCTAAACCAGCCGTACTTATAACTTAGGCTTGCACAACACTCTCATGGCGAGCACATACACCTGGGATTGAATTTTGGTAAGATGCACGTTGTTTATTCTAGGCATCACAAGGTGTCCCTAGTTACTAACGTCACCAAATCACGCAATATTCTTAAGAACTGACATCATGTATGGCCAGTTCAATGAAAATTTCAAACCTCAATTCAGTATGGAGGCATTACATGATATTACCAGATTTCGTTGCTAGAAAGTAATTAGGTCAAAAACACTTTGCCCAAAAAAAGCTAAGAATGTTAGACATTGGTGCAGCACTTTGGCCTGCTAAAGCATTTTCCAACTAAAACCCTCAACTCCTTTCTGAAATTCGTGTTGAAAGAGAAATAAACAAAAGGGTTAATTCCACTGTAAGCGTTTGACAGCCACACTACAAACTCCAGTGCAGGATATGGCAAAGTGATCCTATGCAAAGTGTCCAAACCAACAAAAAACTGAAAGGGAAACCAACACAACACAAACAGAACTACAACAATAATCATCATCTGGGTTACTTTCTTGGCTGTCTTGATAGCCTCTTTGTGTCTCTCATCCTGATTGGCTTCCTCACCGGGTGGATCACGTGACCACAGGCGTAAACACACAATGCCATAGAACACTGTCATGACCACAAGAGGCACAATGAAGTTTGACAGGAGCAGACACAGTGCTGTTACATTCCCCGCCGTGAATTTGATGTGCGAGTAATCAGTCACACAATAAACTTGGTTGCCGATGAACTCAAGGTTCACCATAGTTTGCATTCCAGCAGCTGAGCCCACTGCTCAGATCCACAAGGCTGCAATTACAAGTCTGAAATGTTTTGATATCGGGGAGACCTGCAAAGGGTAAGTGACCCCGAAGTATCTGTCAACGGCGATAGCGGTTAAGGTCCACACGGAGCAAAACGGTGGAATATAGGTAACCCACACTGTGAACCTGCATGCTGTCAGACTTCCGGTACCACCAAACCACTGTTTCAGGAACAGGGTATCTCTGACCATGGCGGTCATGACAAACAGCGTCGTAAACAAGTCTGCGCAAGCTTGATTGAGTATGAGACGATTCGTGGCTGTTTTCATTAAGGGTCTTGTGCGAATGATGTGAATTAAAGCACAGTTACCAAAGAGTGACGTCGTTATAAGAAGGATGTATGCAATATTCAAAAAGCCGAACTGCTCGGTCCACCGGAATATATCTATCAGGTCAGAGGAAGAGCTGTTACCTAATTGTGATGAGATAATAAAAAAAAATTGGTTCACACAATCGAATCATTTGTGCCTTTTGTATGAAATTTGCCGAGAAAATTTAGCATACAGATAAGAAAAGAAAACAAAGAGTATCTTTAAAGTGACACACGCAGTGTACAAGTTCTCACACGCGTGTACATGTTCTCACACGCGTGTATATGCTCTCCACGGTTACTTATTTCATTTCGCTCATCGCATCTGTGGATCAATGTCAATATCTGTGTAACTACGCACCTAACCCTCCCCTAACCAAACATTAACTCCAACTTGTCATCAGTTGACTGTTGTTGGGTTAAGGGAGGGGTGGGTGCGCTCAGACACTTACATTGATCCACATTTTATGTTTTAGTCAAGTCACAATAGACAAAGGTTCACTATTGTTGAGTAACGGGTTAAACTGCGTTTGCTTTATTTCTATTGGCTATTGAATCAGATTGAAGCATGAAGTTCTTGAAAAGAATTTTACTTCAGTTGTGTATTTACTTCCTCTCGTTAAAAGCTCGTGAATTTGACACTTATCTCATTACATACGCGAAGTCACAAAAGTTATCGCTGTCAAAGGAAATATTTTCCTCATAATTATTGGGAAAGAATTCCACAGCAAACAATTTCTGTTTGTAGTGTCCTAGCAGAGAGATTGACTTTAGGTCTAAAAAGGCCCAAACTGTTACCCCGAAAGATGGAGTGATGCATTTCTTAAAATGTTGTTGAGACTGAGTTTTCTAAAAGAGGGTTTTATGTTCATGTTTATTTCCTGTGTGCAAGCTTTCTTACCCGCGACATATAAGCTTTCCAAATGTGTCAATCAGTTCTAATCATTTGGATATAATATGATTACTTCTGACCTTACGTCGTTTAGGAGTTACCTTGTTTTTTCAAAGTGAAGGTTATGTTAGTCGGTAGTTCCATATTTCTTAAATCTTATATGAATCCTTGTAACCTAAAAGAGAAAGCAAACACATAAATGAATGTCGAATATAAATTCGGAAATAACTTGAAAGTATCGAAGGTCCAAGAGTTCCCAGAAACACTGGCGCTTTATGAGCTGGAAGCAAATCAGTTTATCGTTGATTGTAGTGATTAAAAAATTTAGCACGACTAAGGTTCACAGAAAATATTCCGTGTACACCAGTCGCATACTCTAGGATATAAATTTCAGACGAGCTTAAGTCCAACCTGCATCACGGCAGAAAACTCTTACAGAGAAGTTCAACAAAATTTATTTTTGTTCTAGCCCTACTCGAACAAAGGTGTTCCAATTTTGATAACACTAGTGTTTATCATTACTCAAATTTTTGGGTTCGGTGGAAAATGCGGAGCGCGGTGTGTGTGGAAAATGCGGAGAGTGTGGAAAATGAGGAGTGTGGAAAACATGGAGTGTAGAAATGCGGAGTGTGGGAAATGCGGAGTGTAGAAAACGCGGAGTGTAAAAATATAAAAGAAATAAAATATAGAAGAATTAAAATATAAAAGAAAAAGATATAAAATATATACAGGTATAAAGCTTGTATGCATGATTAAGAGTGAAAATGCAATGATTGATCACTTTTCTAAAGAATATGAACAGCTTGTTACTATCGTTAATTGAGAGTAATTCTTCACTCGTTGAATTATTTTGTTTACGTATTTGTTACTGTTCTTTATAGCTGCAAAAAACAATGTACGATTTAGCCGTGAAAATGCAATGATGCATCGTCTAAAGAAAATGGACTGCTTGTTACTATTAGTTAATTGACAATAATGTTAATGTTTTTTTGTTTGCTAGTTTGTTACTGTTCTTACCAATGATTCAATGATGTAATAATTCAACAAAGGAAAAACAAAATCTTAAATTAAATAACTTTCTATACTCTGCATTTTCCACAATCCTCGTTTTCTTATTACTTGCATACCTTTAAATATTATTCTTTGATACAATCTTTATACATGTATATAATTTTATATCTTTTTCTTTTATATATTTCTACACTCTGAACTCTCCACACTCCGCGTTTTCGACACTCCGCATTTCCGTGTTTTCCACCGAACCAAATTATTGGAAGGAAAATGTTCTGTCTATCAGTGACCGAGAAACGCGCTAATATTTCTGTTGCATTCTGCCATAAGTGTGGGTTTGAGGCTCGAATCCTTTGCTTAACACTGAGAAAGTATCTAGAAGAACTCTTGCTAAAAAGGTTCTCTCAATCTAGCTATCCAGTTTTTGCTGTCTCGTCAAATCAAGGTCTCTCAACCTCTTACCTCTTAGTAAGAGAAAATACTCTGTTTCCCAATCCAGCCAATCCACACTAAACTTACTGTGATCGAAATTTCAAACTTTGAGATGTCTTTCACCCGCACGGTAAAATCCTCTTTTTTCAATACCTTTAACTTGTATGAACAGCCGCTCTCGGTTCCGTTCGTCAAAGAAGCACGTACAAACAATTCATTACGACAAACATCAGTCATTTCCGCTCATTTGATAACCTTTGAGGTGCCACTGATGTCAGAATTCACTCATGCACAATTTCACGCACGTGGTATTCATAAAGTAGCTTTAGGCTAAATGGGTTCAGTCTTATTGCAGCATATAAATTGTAGTGAACGGACGAAAATGCATCTGAAACCGAAAAAGAGTTTTAACAAAAACTATATGGCATGCAATTCTGTAAAACCATAAATCTTCACGATTCCAAAACTTGGCGTAACGCAGTTGACTTAAGAGGACTAAGAAAGAGAGGCGACAAAAATCTTCTAGAATAATCTAAGTCTGTGAATTAATTTTCCATAATAAATCTTCTCGTTTAACTGAAAAGTGCTATGTCAATTTTTGACAGGGGATTAAGGATGGAGAAACCTTGTTATTCTCGATGGAAAACCTGTCAAATGAAAAGGCCATTTCACGAAACCTCGGCATTGTAGTCAATTAAGCTAACCAATTTTTGATTAAAGTAGACTAGACTTCATGGTAATACAACCTAAAGGTCGTCAAAATTAGGCATATGACGCTCCTACAGGCAAAGTGTTTCCTAATATTCTACGTAGCGTTAACTGCCTTCGCAAATAGTAATTTCACCTGCGTCATAAACGTATGAAAGTAAACTTCCAGCTTCTTCGGACGTTCAATGCTGTAGGCAA